GGGGTTAAATCTATAATTTTTGAAATTTCAAGGAACAAAGATGTAATTTCTAAAGCTTCAGGGGTGAAATCTACAATCTCAGATAACTATTAGGGTGGATATGTAATTTTTAAGAGTTTTGACGATATTTGCATAATTTAAAAAATAAAATTTATGGGCTTGAAGAAATTTCAAAAAGTTTCGGGGTGGTTGTGAATTTGTTTGGAAAAGTTGGGTTGGTTGTGGTTTGGTTCAAACAAGCTTAGGCTAATTTTTCTTTTTTGGTTTGGCAGTGTTGCTTGGGCCTTGGTTTGAATTTAAGTTATTTTCAACTATAGGTATCGAATGGTTGAGAATTTGTTTAGGAAACAAAAGGTTTCAAAAGTATTTTGGAAACGTAATGGAAACAAAGAAAAAAACTTGAGAATTTGTTTCCGAATCATTGATCGAACTATCAAAATATTTGAAATATTTCGAAACATTGAAATTTTGGTATTCAATCACTGAATTCCTTCTGNGTTTCCGAATCATTGATCGAACTATCAAAATATTTGAAATATTTCGAAACATTGAAATTTTGGTATTCAATCACTGAATTCCTTCTGTTCCTGAAATGAAATTTTGATCTTTATCCCCAAGGTGACTAAGTTCACTTTCAACTATTGTTATCAAATTCAGAGTTGAGTTCCATGTAAGTGCATCAATATATTATCCCAACATAATAGCATATGAAATGGACTTAGATCAAAGAAGATACATGCCAGTGAATTATAGAGAAGAATGATGACTTTCACCACTCTATTGAAAGTATGCCTATCTGGCTGTGGTAAGGCATAAACTTGACAGGGCCTTAGTACTCTAGGTTTTACCCATCTCCTTTTTTTTTTTTTCTTTTTTTTTTGCGTTTGTTATTGGGGTGGCCATTGTTATACTGTCTGAATCTGTTATTGGTCTTGCTATGGAGGAGAATAAGAAATCTGCTGGCGTTGTTGTTGAGGAAACTCCTCATAAGAGGAAGGCTTGATTGCCCCTAAGATGATTAAGCTATGAACAAGGATCGAAATTTCGTTTCGAAGTACCGTTTCGGTCAGCTCAAAAATAGAAATGCTTCGGAAATGCAGAAAAAATATGGGAACGCATAGAAACACAAATACAATCCATTAATTTATAAAGAAAAGTTAAATAATTGATTAATTTAACATATTTATTGGGTTAACATCCATTTATACAAGAATAAATTTAAATTTGAGGGAAAAAAAGGCTTGACATGAGGTGAAAATTATTTAAATTAGTTTCAAACACTTAATTTTTATGAAATAAACATATTTTTACATAATATTAAGGTCTTATAATACATATGAAATGCTAATGAGTACATACTTACATGTGTGCCGAGCAGGCTCATACATCGGTGTAGGCTCTGGATAATTATTTAGAGAAACTCCATATGTGACATAAATATGATGACAATAGTTACTCCAACTCATATTATTACGGTAATATTATCCAATTAATAATACTATTTTATTATAATACTAATAATGAAGGGTATCAAATTAAGTTAATGGTACTTATGTATACTTAAAAATTAATTGTAATTGCAGTGGGTATTAAATATAATTACATTAGGGTATTAAATGTAATTGTTAATACTTATAACAAAAAAAAAGCAAAAGACGTGCACAGCAGTGGGGTATTAAATATAATTACAGAAGGGTATTAAATATAATTATTTATTCTTATACCAAAAAAATTATAAAAGGCAGAAGAGCAGTGGGAATTAAATGTAATTATAGTGGGGTATTAAATATAATTATAGTGGGTATTAAATATAATTACAGTGAATATTAAATGTAATTATAGTGGAGTATTAAATGTAATTATTTTTAGTGAACCAAATATATCACTGTTTGTCGAAACGGTGCCGTTTCGATTGAAACGGTCCGAAATAGTGCCGTTTCGACCGAAACGGTCCAAAACAGTACCGTTTNTTATAGTGGAGTATTAAATGTAATTATTTATAGTGAACCAAATATATCACTGTTTGTCGAAACGGTGCCGTTTCGATTGAAACGGTCCGAAATAGTGCCGTTTCGACCGAAACGGTCCAAAACAGTACCGTTTTAACCGAAATACCGAAACGGTCCAAAACAGTACCGTTTTAACCAAAATACTGAAATTTTGTGATTCAAGTACTGTTTCGTTTCAGAATGTTGAAATTTCGAAACGTTTCGGATGTGTTGACACGACATTTTGATCCTTGGCTATGAAGGGACAATAACTCTTAATACAACCCATACGACCATAGTGATAATCAAGNATTCAACTACTGTTTCGTTTCAGAGTGTTGAAATTTCGAAACGTTTCGGATGTGTTGACACGACATTTTGATCCTTCGCTATGAAGGGACAATAACTCTTAATACAACCCATACGACCATAGTGATAATCAAGGATTTAAATTTTGTTTTAAAATGGTCAAAACATCCAAAATATTTCTATTTCCATGGAAACCGAAACGAATCAATGATTGATGTTTCGGTTGTTTTGACTAATGCTTTGAAAATAAAATTTTAATTTTTTTCTTTATTTTTATCTTATTCCTGAAATATTACCGAGGCGTTTCCGTTTTCAAGCTCACAGAAACTATGCACCAAAACAAAAATTTGATCGTGGTAATATCATTACCTCAAGTTTATAAAGGTCCTATCCAGCTCTAGAATTCTACGCAGGACTCTGTCCACTCCCCTACCTACCGCTATGATTTGGGTGACGAAGGTAGACGTCATTTTTTATGCCTGGCACTATCGTTGCTACTCCTATAATGATTCCCTGGATGTTAGTACTGGTGGCCTTGTCTCCCTCAACTTTACTACGGGTGGTCTTGAATATTCTACTCCGCCTCCAAATTCCTCTCCACTAACGTATCTTGCTCCACAAACTTCCCAGGGTCCCAGCCGATGAGCTACCAATCTACATCAAATAGTAGGCCTCAAGCCTCGCTCAACTCGTTTGGCCTTCTTAGGCCTTGTCTACACATATTCTGTCGTGAGACGTGACAACTCCTCGTATCTTGCTTCATATTGGGCCACAATCATATTGTGCCATCACAATTCCAGTAAATCAGATGACATCTTCTCCTGAATAAACTTCGGAAATACTTGCCAGTGAATTCCTTGAAAATAGCTCTAGTCATCCTGTCTACATTCCTCCTCTTCATCAACTCTGACGAAAAGTCTGTGTCTCCCTCCAATAGTTACGAGGTCAGACTCGCATGCAAGTCATTGGCAATGCCTATGCCACCTCAGACCGTTGAACCAAAAAGAAAATGCCTATGCCATCCATGTCCTTCAACTGACACAACCATATATCCACTCATAGTGGATCCAAACTACTCTTCAAAGTAGGATGTTGCCTTAGAAATTTCTTAAGTGCCATCATCTTTCTCCCTTCAACGTATTTGTCCAGGAGCTAGCAGCTGGGAAAAAAGTAATATGATTGTTGCTGTTCTTGCCTGCTATTTTAGCAAGGTGGTCGATTCCCTCAAACACTAGTATATGTTACTCATGATATTCTGGTTGGCAGTGGTTAAGCATGTTGGGCAAGTCTTCTACCTTCTCTCTCCTTCCGTCCATCCTACCCACCTGAGCATGCCTTGTCATCATATATATATATATATATCCATCACACTTATATTCCAACATTACTGAGGATTACTCAGGATTCTATAATTAACTTTCACGCTATAACTAACCCATCCAAATTATACTTGCTAACAGTAAGAGTGCTAGCCTACTTCCCTTCAGCTCCCACATAAGACCTAATCCCTAGGGTTTGATACCAACTTGTTACACGCGAGATTTTCTAAGATATGATTAATTTAGAAAAACTAGCCTAAATGAGAGCACACATTGGTATAGTAATCATTTTCCGGGGAAAATAGTCAAAAAGTAAATATGTTTTTCAAAATCTAGAGAAGTTCTGTTTGAAAATGGACATCCCGGTGAGCTGATATCGAGCATAACTTGTGGGATCTATTACACATTGTCCTACACTGTTCACGTTTTACACAAATTAATATTCTAAGACCATCATAGAAGATAGACCCACAAAGTCCCTCCAAAGTTGGTGCCCTACAATCTAACATGAGTCTAGTATAACTATGGTAACGAAAAAAACATTGTTGTTCTGCTTGATGTCTCAAAACAAGGCCATCCACAAAGTTACCGAATGGTACATCTCAACATCCTCAAATAACCCTTCAACCTACAAAGGTTACTTTAGTCCTTTTACAACTATCGAAGTTCATATTAATAGCAAATCTACAGGCTTCCACGCATCTCCCTTCTACTCATGCCTTGACATCCATACATACTTTGTCTTTGAAAATTGTTAAAGGAAAGGGGAGCTCAATTAGCCACGTAGAGGTATCACAAGGAATATATAAGACTTGAATTTCCATGAGGAAACATTTATACTCCAATAGAAATTCTTCTAGCTACATGCTTAAACATGATGTAAATGACATGTATCTCCATGGAGTGAAAATATAATGAATGCCACACTCAACAGGAGTAATCGCACCGAGCTTTGGGTTTTTTCACCCTAGGGAACACAATACCTTTCTTATGTTTTAGGTAGGATGTGTACTAGAACCTCGTGGTGTCGCACATGCCGTCACAATTAGGCCAGGCAACATATCAAATATGGACCAGATTATGTACATCCGAATCCGATTATAATTTATTTGATCTAATTTGATCCAATCCGTTTATCTGACGGATTTAAAAAAATTAATTCATATCCAAAACCATTAACATTCAAAGATCCGGTACAATAATCCGATCCGATAATTAGAACAATTAATTGAAACTACTGCACCTTAATCCACCTAAATGGACTGAGGATGAAATATGCCCATCTAAGAGTTCTACACTAAATCAAATGTCTCAAGAAAATATTTGGCAAGTATTTGTCAGGATAATGAACAAGTATTTCTCCTGATTATCCACGTACATAATCTCAAAAGCCCAAAAATGAGCACCTGAACAAGAAGTTAACATTCAACAAAAAACATCATGTTTACATCAAGTTGTCGCCTAGTGTACAAGTGTATAATGTCACCAATTGCCCATAATATCTCATAAACCAAAAGTGGGCACATGTACAAAGTGCTCACATTCAACAAAAATATTAGTGAGCCGCATGAATAGGAAACAAAAACAATTCTACTAACTCCCAAGGAACATGCACACCCCATCTCTTCAATCTTCTCAATTATAGATAGTGACAAAAATAAAATCTGAGACTTCATTTCTTGATCTCCTTAACTGTAGAATGTGTAGAATCTTTATAAGACAATAGAAAAAATATGGAAACCTGAATAATGAAATAGATATGAAAGTGTAATTTAAGTACTAAAAAAATTACATACTTCTATTTTTTTCGTGATTTAATCCAATCATAAGCAGTCATTAAAGCCTCCTCTATCTCTGGAAGTAAAAGAGGCATGTGTTTCATCAATCATCGGACCACCAAAAGGAAAAGCTGCCTTTGATGCAATTGTAGTAGTTGGAACAACTAAGGCATCACGAGCCATCTTTGCAAGAGTAGGACCTTCCACCAACATAAGATGTTAAAATTCTCAATTCTAATTAAGGATCAAAATTTTGTTTCGAAACGGTTGAAACAGTCAAAACGTTTCCGTTTTTAAGGAGACGAAAACGAATCATTGAAATTCTTATACTTCGAGATCTTTCATAATATTTCGAGGTATTTTGTAATATTTCAATGCATTTGCACAATTGTTTCGAAATGTTTCAAGATATTTCAAGATACTTTGATATATTTCGACTAATATTTTGAAAAAATAATTCTTAAATTTTTTATTTTTTGTCATTTTGTTTCTGAAATGCGTTGAAATGTTCCATTTTTTAGGTAACCGAAACATTGCATCGAAATAAAATTTTGATCCTTGGTTTTATGAAACACTAGCTCCAATTCTGATTTTTGGTATGTTAGAATGTTGGAAGTACGAGCTTGTGCATACCATTCATCAATTCCACTCAACTTGTCACTTGAACCATCAAGATTTAGAGAACTACTAGAGCTGTTTTCTCCCAAATGAGAACCATAAGGCATTGTTTGAGATGATTCATTCCCATATTCACTAAAAATATCCGAAAAAGCATTGCAAACTCTTTCAACCAATTTTTTAGCATCCTCACCATAAATCCTGGCATAGTAATACTCCATTAAATCTAACTTAAATCTTGGATCAAGAACAACAACAATAGCAAAAACCAAGCTGCATTCTTCCTAATATTTTGCAAACATGGATTTCATCGGGAATGCCATACTACAAAGAAATGGATATGGACTTTTTTCCTACCTAATCAAGTTGAGCTGTATGTCACAAATTTCTAGGAAAAACACATTTGAAGTTGGAAAATTTGTGCCAGAAAAATGTTTAGTTGCTCATAAAAAATCCTTAAACAACCACACAATATTTTTGCAACTTCTCACTCCTCATCTGATGGATTGTGCTTGTAAATCCTTTCCATTTGTGCTAAACGACAAAATGAATTTCTCATCCCCAAGGACTCTCTAGCATATCAAAATTGGAATTCCACCTATTGGGACAATCCAAAGTAGGTTTTTTTTTTCTTTCTTTGAATTTAACTTGACTTATTGTATTATCAAACTTTTGTTCCGAATAAGGAGTTTTGTTCACATATTTCGCACTTTCTCTAACCTTATAAATAAGGTTTTCAGACTCTTAACAACCCGTCTTGCACAATTAGATTAAGAATATATGCACTATAACACACATGGAATAAATCCCACCTATAGGCAATAATACCTTATCTCAAAGCCAAGTCTTCATGCCTCTTATTATGACATCATTGGTTATGGCGTTATCCACTACCATTGCAAACAACTTCCAATCAATATTCCATTCTAAAATCCTATATGTGATATATTGCAATAGAGTATCCGCATCATAGTGGCATTTTATGTATTTATAATTCACAATTGTATTTTTCAATTCCTAATCATCATCAATAAAATGTATTGTCAAACAAATATAGCCAAGGTTTTGATAGAATGATGTCTATAGATTAGTGGTCAGGGTAATCCTACTAGGAAGTTGATCCAAGTAGTTATACAATTTTTCTTTCTCTCGTTGATACACACTTACTTTATCAGCTCTAATTGTATTCCTTGACATAAGCTTGAAACTAGGTTGAAGACCATTGCAAAAAGTATCAAAAAATTCATGTTCAGCCATGTTAAAAGGATAATTATGCTTGATGATCATTGTGGCTAAATCAATTCTACTCTTATCGTGATCAAACTTAAAAGTTTCAACTTTTACAGCTGAATCATTAGCATGTATTTTCAAGGATAACAAGTGCAGGCTAATGTCATCCTGCTTCTTCTTTCTAAATATGCATCAAGTAAGATGGAACTTCAAATGGTTGGTCCCTTTACTACTATCCCTAAAAAAAAATTTTTTGCAATGATTACAAATAGCAACCTCTCCTTTAGGCCCTTTAATCTTTACAAAATCTTGCCATACCTATGATGTTAATCTTCTTTTCTTTGGAGCAGCTTCACCTCCCAATTTTGTAGCTTCGTCATTTGTCACTTCAATTTCGGAAATTTCAGTCACCCTTGTAGGTTCAGCAATTGGTTCAGACATTTTATATGTCAATAAATCATTAATCAAGAGTATTAAATTAACAAAGCCCAAGGAGCAAGCAATAAGAACAAACAAGAAAAATTAACAAGCTTCAAGAATAACTATGCAAACTAGAAGATGACGAAAGACCACTATCAACAAACCAAGAAGCCTTGGGTGGCTACCAAGGTAAAGCAAAATCTGTCATTACACTTCTAAACTATAAATTTTGAGTTCAAATAATAAACTAACACAATAAGAAATTAAATCCCATGTGAGATAGAAACCCACGTGCTTAAGACTCCTAAAAAATGTATACTACTAACAATGAAAAACTAAACAACTAACAATAAAAACTAAACAAGACATCTTTGAACTAACAAAATGCGAAGGATAAACAAGCAGAAATGCCTTGGTTCCAAAACTATTAAAACTAACTTTGGGCGTCTTTATTTCCACCGCCCAGCATAGCAGAATACTTAATAGTGAGAGTAGAAATGGAAGGGAGAGGATAAATTGAGGCAAGGCAGGGCGTGGTAGAGTTTGAGAGAGTCGACTGAGAGATGGAATTGGAGCGAATTGAGGCATGGCAGAGAAAGAAAAGACTTGAGAAAGTTTGTGTGGAAGAGTCTTCTAGAATTAGGTAAGGAATTATAACCTTTATTGGGGACTGAGTGGTCATCAGATTTGTTTTCAAATTCACAGTAGGGATTTCTTTAACCAACGGTCTAAATTACAACACATGAAATTAAACACACACATCGGATCTGACTAATAAGACTCGGATTGAAACCCGATCCATTGACAAGACTAATCACAATCATGCAATATGACTAACCAATTCTACCTAGGATAAGTTGGACCCCTTGGAACTTCGTAAGTGACCAAATTTATCTAGTAACCCTCCGCCATCTATAGTATGCATTTAAAATGCCCTTCTTGCTTTTTGTGGAGGACTAGTAAACGATCAAAATTTCTTTTTCATTCCCATCGAAACAACCGATTTGTTTTGATTTCTATTCAAACTAAAATGAATCAGCAAAGGGAAATGAAAATTCCCACCTTTCGTAATGTCTTGAAATGTTGTGATTTTTTGGAAAATTTATGAATGTTTTGACAATATTTTAGATTCAAAATTCTAAATTATTTCTCTATTTTCATTGTGTTTCCAAAACAAATTTAAATTGTTTCAAAGAAGCTTCTGTTATATTCGATCAGAATTTCGATTTTGTGACTAGTAATGAGAACCTATTATGTCACAATGGCCACTACAATAATATTGCTGACTGATCCTCCCTATGAATATTAGGAAATCTTGGAACCTCACAAGTAAGCAAAGTCATCTACTAACCTTTCGACATCAGTAATGTGCATTCAAGTTTGCCCAAATCATGAAATGAGAACCAAAAATGATTGAACATACTTAAAGGCATTGTCAGAATTGAAGAACTTTAATACTGGTATAGAACTGAAATAGAATTTCATTATAAAAAGTGAACCACTCATATCGGTCTTTCATAATAAACAACCAAGTCATACGAGAGAAATCATCAATAAAAATTACAAAATACTAAAAATTAAAAATACTTTTGACTCTTGCAGGACCCATATGTCTTCTGTATGAACAACATGAAACAGATTGGATTGACAACTTGAAGAACTAGGAGAAAAAGAACTATGGTGATGCTTGCCTAATTAACAAGTCTCTCACATTCTAGCACAGAAGAAAAACTCAAATTAGAGATAACTTGATGCAACTTTTGCAAGGAGGGATAACCCAGTCAAAAGTACCACTAAAGAGGAGACACATTAGCACTTAAGGCAAGAATTGAATCACTAGGATATAAGTAGTAAAGACTATTGCTCATGCCCCATACCAATCACCTTTTTTGTTTTGAGGTCCTAAAAAACACAAGAAGATGGAGAAAAAGTTACTGAATACTGCGAGGACTTAGTTATATGACTCAAATAATTAGTTAAAGAAAAAATTAGGAACAAACAACCTAGATATTAATGGTATAGACTGAGTAGGACGGAGATTACTAGTCTCATGTACCGGTTGAAAAGAACCATTAGGTAATAAAATTCGTGAATTACACGAACAAAAATTAGAGAACTGGGAAGAAATACTAGACACATGAGCACTAACTCTTGAATCAATGATTCAAGATGACGAAGAAGGCTAAGTAACCACACATTCTTTTCTCCACAGATTATTCTCATCTGCGCTCATTCTTTTCCTTTCTCTTTATCTTTTTCTCTCCTTCTCTCCTAAAATTATCTTTGTGTGAGCTATGTTGCCCTACACTCTCTTATTTACAATAAACTGACATTATGAGTAAACACTTCTAATAGTATAAAATATGAATTCTAACATAAAACATTTTCATATAGGGAATAGTAACTAAGGCTTATAAAAATAATAAGAAATGGTGATATTTGTGTAAATCCTAATTTGTGTACATATTCAGTTAGCCCATTTGGGCCACCCATTCCTCTGTTTTTCACTCCTATAACTGAATGCAACATGTCCATAAAATTAATGTTTTCTAAAGGCTAGACATAAATTCAGATGGTTTTAGACATTAACATTGTAATTGAAGTGCTTAGGAAGTGACATTGCCTTATTTGGGAGGACGGAAAAAAGATCCCTTGAGCAGGGCACTTAAAAAGACAAAATAAAGGTACAATACAACTTTAGAATGTGGCAATAACTTTGTGTTGGCTTGTCCGTGGGGCTAGTTGGAGGATATCAAGCGATGGCAAGGAGCTCGTTCAAGCAAGCACCATGGAACCGAAACTGGAACTACGTCAATTAGAACTCGTTTTTCAGCTAATAGATAACCCAAAACCCAGTTTTTTCTCATTCTTTTTATTTTTTAAACCCTAAATGTTTTTTAAATAAAAAAATTGTGTTTTAAATGTTTGAAATTAGGGCATAACTTTAAGAAATTGATGGATAAAACTTTTGTGCAGATCGTGACATTATCCAGTAAAGTAATTGTCCTCATACCTTCCAACAAAATGACATCATTTGTCGGATGTTGCCCATACCTTGATGTTTAACATCATGCATGTGCAAAAATCATATTGGTCTGATGTTGTGCTTATTTCAGTTTATCTTATTAATCGCATGCCTTACCGCATTTTGGGTAACAAATCTCCTTTCTCGTTGTTTATCCTCATAACCGTCATTTGGACTCACCTTTCGTGTATTTGATTGTGTTGTATTTGTTCATCGTATCGGGATAAACTTTTACCTTGCTTAGTTAATTGTCTTTCTATGATATTCTCTTACCCAGAAAAATTATCGGTACTATGACCCTGTCTCTCGTCAATACTACATTAGTGATGGTGTTACTTTTTTGGAGCCATTGTCTTTCTTTTTTGTGTCAGGACATACACTTTCACTAGATTTAGTCTTTCCTAGTCAAGGGGAGCCTTTGTTGCCTATTGGATTAGATTGTGTATCCTCACTCTTTCCGATTACTATCTTCCTTCGTTGTAGGTGAATCGTCGTTCTAATAATTGACAAATTGTTTCATATGCTCTAACTTCATAGTCATCTCCTGATTCTATTAAGGTCTTGCTCTCTGAGCTATCAATTAGTTCATCCTGTTATGATTCATTGATTGCATCGAAAAAAGGTACTCGTACTTATACCAAACATCTCATTTCTAATTTTATTTTATTTTTTATCAACTTTCATTATCTTTTTATTGTTTTGCATCGACTTTGTCTTCTGTATTTGTTTCTAGCTCTTTGTAATAGGTTTTGACATCTCCTAGTTGAAAATTGGTTATGAATGAAGAAATGAAAGTCCTTCATGAGAATCAAACATGAGATTTTACTTCTCTTCTGGTAAGTAGCTAGTTAGTTGTTGTTGGGTTTACATAGTGAAATATTATTCTAATGGTTCAGTTGAATCTTGAAGGCATGTTTGGTTGCTAAATACTACACACAAATATATGGTGTGGATTATTGTGAGACTTTTTCTTATGTTGTTCGCCTCAGCTCTATTAGAGTTCTTATTTCTATTGCAGTTAGTTATGATTGGTATTTGTCTTAGCTAGCCATCAAGAATGCTCTTTTACNAGTCTGTAAAGCTCGGGTAGGTGAATCAAAGTCAAGGTAATATAGGCCACCAGCTTCAGTTCCCATACTAATCTTCCTCTTCGTCTTGAGATCTTGAAAGACACAATAAGAGGGATAAAAAGTTACAGAACAATTGAGAGAACGAATAATCTTGCTAATGAAAAGTAAATTAAAAGAAAACTGAGGAACAAATAACACGGAAGATAGGGATATATCAGGACTCAAGTGAGTCTCCAAACCTAAAACTTTAGAACAAATACCATTAGTAAGAGTAACACTACGTGTGGACGTAGCAGACTGATAAGTAGAACAAATGACAAACGCACCAGTCATGTGGTCAGAGGCGCCAGAATCTATGATCTAAGAACTGCGAGTGGAGGACAATAAACAAGTGAAAACAGTACCTGATTGGACAAAAGTAGCAGTGGAGGGAGATGGAACAGCCTGTTGCTGGGACAAGAACTGAGCATACTCTTCTCGTGTAAGAGTAACTGACCCAGTATCTGGTGGAGTTGACCGAGGTATAGAAGCCACAACAAAGTTGTCATCCTGATAAGAAACTTGATTCGCAGTACCAGAAGGTTTGCCATGTCAATCCCAACAGAAATCAACAGTATGCCTTCCACGACCATAGTGAGTACAGGAATGTGGTCTACTACGGCCCCCTCGACCATCACGACCACCTCGATGATCATCACTATGGCTACTAGGAACCACAAGAGCTGAGTGGTCAGTGGAAACACCATGATTGATACTTGAAGTAGACAAAGTAGCATGCTGTATGCGAGAGAAAACGTCAAGTACTGAGGGAAGAGTAGAGCCACCCAAAATCTAAGAACGAATACCCTCATATTCAGGTTTTAAACCCACCACAGCCTAACAACATTCATGTCTGCTGCATCAGTATTAAATGGATGGTAGGTCCTCATTTCCTCACAGACTCCTCGAATGTGAGAGTAATAATCTTCAATGCTTTGAGTATTCTGTTCTAGCTGGAAATACTCCTTGCACACCTCATAAGCTCAGGTAAAATTGCCTGTACCCGAATACATAGTGGGCCAAGTGATTCTATATCTCCTTGGCAGTGTCAAGGTAGAGTAGAGTAGAATTAATACTAGGCTCAATGTTATTCAGTAGTAAAGAGATAATTTGAGAATCTTCTTGCTCCCATTGATTATAACCAGGACTCTCTTTCTTGGGTTTAGGATCCACCAAATATTTTTTATATCCTTTGCCTCGAAGAAAGATTTGAACAGACCGGGACCATAACGTATAATTGGTCCCTTTAAATTTAACAAAGGTCATGAGACTATTGATAATAGTAAGAGGAGGCAAAGATGGAGTAAGTGCCCTAGTATCTTGCTTGGGTTCCAAAAGAAAAATTGGATGCTAGAATAATCCAAAAGAAAAAAAACAAGCTGCTGGAAGTGAAAACAAGCTGTTGGAAGTGTTACACTGCTGAACCAAACAAGCTAAGCCTGAAAACAGACTGCTGAAAGTGTTACACTACTGAACCGAACATGCTAAGCCCTCTGAACCACTGAACCGAGCTGGAAAACAAGCTGCTGGAAGAGAGTAGGTTGAACCAGAAGAGTTACACTACTGAACCGGACAGGCTTAGCCAACTGGACCACTGAACTGGGCTGGTTTTGCTCGCTGAATCACTGAACCGGACTGATTAGGCACCCTGGACCGTTGAACTGGGGTGAAAATTGACTGAACTGGTGCAAAACTATCTGAACTGGACTACAAACACTCACTGGACCGATGAACCGGGACTAAACTGGGATTGATTCAGTCTAGGCTGAATCGGGGGGTTGGACCCGATTTAATTAGGCTGGATTAGGACCGGGTTGGACCGAGGTGGATCGGGTCTGGACAAGTGTCTGGACCTTGTCTCTCCATTCGTTGATTAGGGTTTCAGTGTACCCAGGTCTTGACTGCGCCTCACCACCACTACAAACGGAAGCCCACCACAACAGCTAACACCATCACCATAACTCCGGCAACCACCACGATGAAGAACAAAAGATGGCGACCACCACAACAGTATCACCACCACCGCTACACTTTGACAAACACCAGAACCACAACAGTACCACCCACCACTACCACGATGACAGTATCACTACCACTACCACTATGCTTTGACAAGCAACGACACCACACCAGTACCACAAACAGACCACCACCACTTATGCTTCGACAAACACCGACACCACCACAGTACCCACAAACAGAATTAATTTATTTAGAATATAGTTATGATCGTAATCGCTCCGATACCATGTTAAATGTGAAAAATTAACACTATTAGAGAGAAACAGAGATAGGTTAAAAAACTTAACCTAGTTCTCATCAATCACTTATATTTATAGTTAACCTACAATTATAAGATTTACACATACACCCTTTGACTATTAACAATTTACATATACTATCCCATTATTCTTAACAAGACATATACATAGCATATATTTAATATAATGCAAATACTATACCCATATAGATTCTCAATAGAAAATGAAGAATTTTTATTAAATAGTAAATTGTTCACTACAAAAAGCTATTTTTTAGTATATAATTCTATCAATTTTTCTATTTATACTCAAATCCATGTTGCCTTGCATCTAACTCCCATTCGCTCCACATGACTGTCAAAAGTCTTTCCTGGTATGCTCTTTATGAAGGGATTTGTTAGGTCATTTGCTGATGCAATATTGGTCACCAATACATCCTCTTACGACGATGTCTCGTATAGGTAATACTTACGCTCAATGGGTTTCCCCTTCTTATGGATTCGTGGCTCCTTTGAGTTAGCAACTAGTCCTTTATTGTCACAATAAAGTGTAATAGCCAATCTTGCCGAAGGTATAACTTCTAAGTCCATAAGCTAAACTACCTCTTTGGCTGCCTCAGAGGCTGCCATGTATTTTCCCTCCATGGTGGAATCAGCAATACAAGATTGCTTAGTACTCCTCCAACTTATAGCTTCACCTCTTAGGGTAAACACATATTCTAAAGTAGATTTTTTCTGGAGTCTTTATTTGACTAAAATCAGAGTCTGTGTATCTGAGGGGTACTAGACTATCTGTCTGGTAAACCAACATATAATCTCTCATCCTTTTTAGGTACTTGAGAATATGTTTTATCAGAGTCCAATATTCTTGTCCAAGGTTAGATTGATATCTATTAACCATGTCAACGACAAAACAGATATTAGGTCTAGTGCAAAGCATAACATAGATTAGACTTTCCGTTGTCGAATCATGAGGAACTGCTTTTGTGTTCTATATCTCTTTAGGTGTCCTAGGACACTGCTAATTTGACTGAGAAACTCCATGTTTGAAAGGATAAGCCTGATGTCTTATCCTTGCGATTTCACATAAGGTTGATCCTATTGATGTGGTTAGCTTTCCCCAAAACCTTCATATCAAACTGATTGAATAATCATACCCTAACAGAAGATAACATCCTCACATCATTTCTAATGAATACGATATCATTCGTGTAAAGTACTAGGAACACTATCACGTTTCTGTCACGCTTNACTCCTTTATTGTCACAATAAAGTGTAATAGCCAATCTTGCCGAAGGTATAACTTCTAAGTCCATAAGCTAAACTACCTCTTTGGCTGCCTCAGAGGCTGCCATGTATTTTCCCTCCATGGTGGAATCAGCAATACAAGATTGCTTAGTACTCCTCCAACTTATAGCTTCACCTCTTAGGGTAAACACATATTCTAAAGTAGATTTTTTCTGGAGTCTTTATTTGACTAAAATCAGAGTCTGTGTATCTGAGGGGTACTAGACTATCTGTCTGGTAAACCAACATATAATCTCTCATCCTTTTTAGGTACTTGAGAATATGTTTTATCAGAGTCCAATATTCTTGTCCAAGGTTAGATTGATATCTATTAACCATGTCAACGACAAAACAGATATTAGGTCTAGTGCAAAGCATAACATAGATTAGACTTTCCGTTGTCGAATCATGAGGAACTGCTTTTGTGTTCTATATCTCTTTAGGTGTCCTAGGACACTGCTAATTTGACTGAGAAACTCCATGTTTGAAAGGATAAGCCTGATGTCTTATCCTTGCGATTTCACATAAGGTTGATCCTATTGATGTGGTTAGCTTTCCCCAAAACCTTCATATCAAACTGATTGAATAATCATACCCTAACAGAAGATAACATCCTCACATCATTTCTAATGAATACGATATCATTCGTGTAAAGTACTAGGAACACTATCACGTTTCTGTCACGCTTTTTATATATACTAGACTCATTTGGGCATTGTTCAAAACCATAAGGTTTTATAGTTAGATTAAAATGAATGTTCCAAGACCTAGATGCCTGCTTAAGTCCCTAAATGGACCTCTTAAGCTTGTATACTAGATGTTCTTGGCCTTTTGCTACAAATCCATCTGGTTACACCATATAGCTTCACTCGTCAAGATTCCCCCGTTAAGGAATGTTGTATTGACATCCATTTGCCAAATCATGTAATCGTGATGAGCGGCAATGGATAAGAGAATCCAGATCAATGTTAGCGTAGCTACCGGTGAAAAAGTCTCCCTATAATTGATTTCTTCTTTTTGAGTAAACTCTTTCGCAACAAGTCTTGCCTTAAAGGTGTCTACCTTATTGTCTGATTCTTTCTTCCTCTTATATACTCACTTGCATCCAACCATTGGATGGTTCTACATGTTCCCAAACTTGATTGGAGTACTTGAACTCCATCTCAGACATTATAGCCTTTTTGCAAAAATTCTACATCTTTATCTTGAAGTGCTTCGTTGTAGGGTCGACATTTTGTTCCTCAGGGATTCGGTCAAAAGACTCCTAAGAACATATACCAGTCGGGTTGACGAACAACCCTTCCACTAAGACAAAGCACTATCTGTATTTATATATCATTAGTTACATGTTGTGCATGATCTGCACGAGTATTGATATTCCTCCCACTACGACGTCGTAATGGGATATCGTCTACTCTTTAATAGGATGTTTCATCTTGTACATTTGGTATTGAAGAAGTATTCGTTGATCTATCTCCTCTCAACTCTTCGAGAATAATTCTACTTTTGGGCTTGCTATCCATAAAGTAGTCTTCCTATAAGAATCGGGCACTGGTGCTAATAATGACATTCTAATTCTTAGGACTATATAAAAGACCACCATTTGTTCCTCTTGAATACCCTATAAACAGATTTTTGTTCTTGATTCTAGCTTATCTGTGTTCCCTTTCAAAACTTGTCCTGGACACCCCCAAAAGGAATCAGGTAAAACTGAATAACTCAGTTCAGATCTCACCATATCTAGTAAGAGTCGTATTCCTTCTTTTTACCACATCTTTTTGTTGTGGTGTGCTAGTGTAGGCAAGTGGGATGTAATCCCTACCTCTGATAAGTAGTCTCGAAACTCTCCTAAGAGGTATTCGCCACCACGATTAGATCGTAATGTCTTTATACACTTTCCTTTACACTTTTTCGTTTCAGCCTTAAACTCTTTGAATTTCTCAAAGCATTCAGACTTGCAGCGCATCAAATAAATGTACCCATACCTTGAATATTCATCAATGAAAGTGATGAAATCTTCAAAGCCTTCTCTAGCTTGGATAGTCATAAGTCCACACAAATCAGAATGAGCCAATGCCAACAGATCTTTTGCTCTATAGCCCTAGGCCGTAAAATGCCTCTTGGTCATTTTACCTTCAAACCAAGATTCACAGACTGAAA